ACACACACACACACACACACACACACACACACACACACACACACATACACACCCATGCAATTGTGAATGCAGGCAGACACCCACGTACACCCGTGCACTATACGTCCTACTTTACTTTTTTCTCCCTCGCTCTTTTTTAACGTCGCATTGTGCATTCCTCTTTTTTCATGCCTGCTTTTCTTTTTCTACCGCATATTCCCTCACTCGCTTCGCTCAAATCACGCTCTCTCTCTTGAGACTCCTCTCTTGACTCTTTCGCTTCTTCCTTGTCAGCTGTTTCTTCGTTCTCACCTGAGTGGTCCACCAAGTTAATCACACTCTGACTCTTGTCCGCCTCCTCTTCATTCTCCTTTTCCTCCCCCCCCTCCCTGTTTGTCGTTCTTGGAAGCTTTTCATGCTCTGCCGCACTGACACCCTCCACATCACCTCCCCTTTCTCCCATTGTTGACTCCGTAACTATTTGCGTTCCTAGGCCAGTGCATTCCATAAACACTTGTCCTTCCCCCCCTTCTTTCTCATTTGCACTTTGCTCCCTGGTGGCTTCGTCGGTGCCTTGCGTCTGTGTAGTGATGACAGTCGTATGGTGTATTCCATGCGATTGTTTGGAATGCCAATCGACATACCCTGCCACCCCCTTCACTCTCTGATGTGCCTCAATTTTTTGCCCTTCTTCGTGCGATGCTTTTTGTTGCTGGTCCTCTTCAATCTTTTCGTCCTTCGCGTGATCGCCATGCACGTGCGCAACATCTTCCCCTCCTTCTCTTGGTGTTGTCTCACTTCTGGCTCCTACTGCACTGATGCCTTCTGACGGTCTAAATGTTGGTTGCGGTGTGCTCGATGGTCGGTCAACGACCTCATCTCCCCTTGTGTTTTGCATCCTGAATTGCCCTTCCTTGTCTGCCACACTCTTGCCACCACCTCCTGCTGCTGCTGACTCGTTCGTTTTCCTTGCACCCTTGTGTCCCTCAAGGCTTTGACTGCACCCCACAAGTATATCGCTGTCGTACATGCAGTCCGTTGCGCGGTAGTCCAAAGACCATATGACAGCTCCATACGACGGACTCGATTTCTTGTCGTAGAACGCAGCGCAATACTCGAGAAGGTGATTTTCACAAAGGAATTCGAACAACGAGTTCACTTTCTCTGATATTTTGTCGTCCAACGCATCTTTGTTTGCCTGCCTCACGCGGGTATACAAGTTGTCCTTCGCGATTTCATAAAACCTGCTCCTCAAGACTCTTTCCCTGAACACCCATCTCCCACCCATTCGGATAGCCATGTGCCATCTTCTATTAATCACACAAGGCTCGAAAAGACCTGGATGCCATACGATGTGATGCCCCCACTCGTATTCATATGACTTTGTGTACTTCGTTTCTAGAAAGTGAGTTCCTCCTTTTATCTCCTTCATGTCATATGATATATTATCACACGGTGCAAGCTGTTTGGGGGCGTCGTCCGGGATTTGAAAGAGGGGATCATCCTCTATGCCCATCCCATCAGGGTCGTGCACTGATTCTTTGCCTGCGTGAGCAACATTTTGATTCTCTGGCCCGGCGTCCCGAAGGAGCCAGCAAGAACCATAGCTCCTGCACGGCGTTTCGGGACGGTGGACCGCACCATGTCTTCGCCGACGCATTCTGCGCACGGGCATGCCGCGGTGCCTTCCTGAGGGTCCGGGGACTCCGGGCCATGTCACGGTATGGTCCGGCGGCTTGGGGACGCCGGACCGTGCCGTGGTATGGTCCGGCGGCTCGGGGACGCTGGACCATGCCGTGGTATCGTCCGGCGGCTCGGGGACGCTGGGCCATGCCATGGCATGGTCCGGCGGCTCGGGGACGCCGGACCATGCCATGGTATGGTCCGACGGCTCGGGGACGTCGGACCATACCGTGGCATGGTTTGGCGGCTCGGGGACGCTGGACGATGCCATGGTATGGTCTGGGGACTCCACGACGCCGGACCATGCCCTGGTGTGTTTCAGCGACTCCACGACGCCGGACCGTGCCACGGTATGGTCCGGGGGCCCCGTGCCGCCGGACCATGCCATGGCATGGTGACCCTCAAAACTAAACCCTAAACCCTAAACCTTGAACCCTGAACCCTGAACCCCGAGCCGCTGGACCCTGCCATGGTATGGTCCGGCATCCCGGAGCCACCGGCCCATGCCACGGCATGGTCCGTCGTCACCCTGTCATTGGAACGTAAGGTCCGGGTGGTGTTCAGTGCAGTTGCAAGGTGGTGTCAGACATGATAGACCATGCGATCGTGTGCTGGGACCCGCGCTGCAAGACCCGGGCTGAAAGATCTGGGCCAAAGGACAATGCCGTGTCATGGTTCTGCCTGACGTCCTCTGTGTTGCGAAGGAGGGCGCATGACAAAGGGCGCCATTGGCTTCGTCGGTGTCGGGCTCCAGGACCCAGGGTGTCGGACCGTGCTGCAGGGCCATGCCATTTTGTGGTAGGGCCCGGGGTGCAGGACCGTAGCAGTGCATGGCAACGCCTGGGATGAAGGGTCCGCGCTGCATGACCCAGGCTGACGGGTCGTGCTGTTGCATGTCAAAGCTAGGGATGAACGAACATGCCATGTCATGGTGTGGTCCGGCGTCCTCTGTGTTGCGGAGGAGGATGTGGGACCTTGGCAGTGCATGGCAAAGCGTGGGACACAGGACACCATTGCATGGTGGAACCTGCGCTGAGGGACCCGAGGTGCCGGACACTGCAGCACAATCGGGGGCCTGTGTAATAACAATCCCTCCTCTGTGTGTGCCTCTGTGTGTGTGTGTGTGTGTGTGTGTGTGTGTGTGTGTGTGTGTGTGTGTGT